TTTCGACGACAAGTTTGTGGCGATGACATCGAGTGTTAATTAAAATGAAAAATAAAGTAATACTTATTAACATAAATGAACTAATTTTTGCGGAGTTAGAGGACATTCATATATGTGTGGCAATAGAGTTGCCAACAGAGGGAATGGGAGGGGAAGTGCAGGAGAGAGAGAGAGAGAGAGAGAGAGAGAGAGAGAGATGGCACATGAAGTTTGGTATTCATAATAATTTGAACAAAAAATTCTCAAACACTTCAAGAACTTCAATATATAAGTCAAAAGAAAAATATCACTTAATGTATTCATAAGAAAATTATAATGTTTTGCCAAAACATTTGCGTTTTGTTTGCAAAACAAACTGAACGTTAGACTCGTGTGAGAGAGCATTGAGAGAGAAGGGGAGAGAGAGAGAGAGAACAGTTTAAGTGTTTTATGTTCTAATGAAAACTCTTTTGAGAAAAATAAATGTTTGGATGAGAGACCAAAGTTCACTATAAGTTAGACGTGGAGTACATCTTAGGGATAGAGAAAGATTGAGAATAGTCTGGCCTTTAAATACCAGTGCCATAGAAAATGGTATGGAATAGAGGTTTGGAGAGAGAGCTAGAAAAAGGGACAGACATATGAAGCAAAGTATTGAGACTTTTCTGGTGGCGAGTGAGACAGTGACTGAGAAATGTGTGTATGTTTTGCGAGTATATCGTCGCACACACTGCCAGAGAGAGTATATACACACCGACTCCGACTCCGTAGCACTCGTAGTAACAGCACCAGCAGCAGCACCACCACCAACACCAACACCACCACCAACTCCAACACCGCCACCACTGCCTCTGTCTGCTCCAGACATACACTGGTGTAGGGCTAGAGTGCAATAAAACTTTGGAGTTGCTGTAGGAATGGTATGGTATGGTATGGTATGGCTGTATGTCTGTGAGTGTATGAGCCGTAAAAACTATAGCCTAAGCACTGTATTGATTGGCGAATTCTCGGGAATCCCAGCAATTCATACGTCAAACGAGTTTCCAAGAAAAATAGTTCTCCAACTCTACTATAACCTCAACTCTAGAGTACATTATATGGTTGTGAGTGTGTGTTATGCCATACACTATATAAAACTTCAGATGTGTTGTGTGTGTGTATGTAATAGCTATGATGGCATTACATAAGCAAATCCCCCCTCAATTGCTATTCACTCGCTAAACACACACAGAATATATAGCATTTAAACTGCACTATTCTGTAGTATAATTTTCATATGTGTAACATGGATCTCGTGACTGGCCTGGGATTTGCAGTGCACTACACATTTATATACAAACTTATAACTCTTTCGAAAAAAATTTTCTCGTAATCTATTTTACAATTAAATATGAGTTTTCAGCGCAAAATGCGGGCAAATATTTATATATATACTTCCCATATCTAGGCTATGAATTACTTGGTTAAGAGTTTACGAGAGTTTGTTTGTATTATTTAATAGTGTATTTTCCAGTGAAATATTGTTTCGAGAGTAGGAAAAAACTTTTATAGACATTGTTTTCAATTAACTCATTGCTGCGACTAAATACCAGCCCCCGCTCGCCATCCCTGGGTGGGCACACATACCGGCGACTCGAGCGCCACACAAACAACTGGAGTGAAGAACATATTGGAGAGAGAATAAGGCAAATCTCTCTCTCTCTCTCTCTCTTTCTTTCTTTCTCTCTCTCAATGTTTTGTTTCTAAGCATTCAATTCTCTCTACCGATGACTGACTGTTAGGCAATTGAGTCGACAGTCGAGTGACTTGTCTGTCAATTTGCGTGCGCTCTCCAAAACCCATAGTATTATATGTTTTTTGTGCTTATTTTTTGCTAATAGTATTTATTTTTCTCCGATTCCCTCCACTATTCTCTCTCTCTTTACTTACTCTGCATTTAATTTCTTAATTACAATTCTTTGACGTGTTTTTAAAGACGAAATAATGTTTTCGTCAAAACTATATCTAAATTGCGAAAAACTTCAATTCTCTACAGTATTATAATGGTATCGTATGTATGTATGCATAGAGTATATCATCGCAACCGCTCGCTATCCTGTCTGACAGTCTGTTAACTCCAGACCTAAACAACACTATTTGCGAAGCAAAACAAATAATAGACTTTGGACTCAGAGTTGTTGTGCGGATATTCAGATATATTTTCGGAATACTCTCACTGAGAGAGAGAGAGAGAGAGAGAGAGAGAGAACAGACATTAAATAAACATTAAGAGAGTGGAGGAGAAAATAAGTTAACAAATAATTTTGTTAATGATTTTTTATAATAAAACATAAATTATCTATTATTTGGAACCGAGTTCTTAGAGAGAGAGAGAGAGAGAGAGAGACCAAGAGAGACAACAGTTGTCTATCGAGTCGAGAACTGGCTGTGAGTTGCCTTCCCTTCACTCTATCCTCACTTTAGGCTTAACTCAATGTCTGTCTCTAAAGTCATAATAAGTTTAATGAATTCATAAGAATTTTCTGATTCACTGCTCATTCATCGCATGCAATGAATGAATGCATGAAATACACAGAGAAACGAGTGAAAAGTTTTTTCATAAGAAGTACTACAAAAATTACAATAATAATGAAAAGCCAAACAATTAATATAATGTATAAATTGTGAAATAAAAAACATTTCAAACATAAACTCATATAAAAGCATTAAAAAGTGCTCAACAAAACTTACACATCTATTGACACTATACAGCGTGTATGTCTCTACCACTAAACTACTAGTTTATAAAAGTATTGCCATAAAATAATATTATATTTAAGTAATAATAATAAATTATATTTTTGATTTTTGGTTTTTTGTTTGAAAAATTAGAAAAATACACACAAAACAACAGCAAAAGACTTACTCATTCGTGGCATTTGTAGACTTGTTTTGTGATGAATCCGGGAATTAATTTGTGTCTATCATTACTTTTTGTGATATTATGCGATATAATATATTTACATTCAGTATATAATGTTTTTTGTTGTCAATTTTATTGAGAGAATAAAATGTTGGCCAGAAGTTTGACTTTTATATCACAAATTTCAAGCCTTTATATAGACTTCGGAGAGAGAGAGAGAGAGAGAGAGAGAGAGAGAGAGACCGAGTCATGAGTTTTTCCGGTATCGATCCCAGAGACGAGCCAACCGTTAGCTGACAGGTCATTGAATTTACCCAACAATTTATTTATACCACAATATATACAGCGAGACAAACACTTTTCGTTATATAAACTTAAAGGTTATATCAAGTGAAATGAGTACAGAAATTATAACAATAGTTCACAATTGTGTGGAAAAACCCAGAATTTGTGACTCAGTCTTAGCATAACATGTATTTCACTCTCTCTTTGCTTTACTTTTTTCTTCTTGTTTTTCCTCTCGACTGACATTTAAACATAACGTTTGGATATCAATAGATATAATACTCACAGAATATGCGGAATATTCTGGGCATCGATGGCTCGCAACGAATGGAATATAAGGAACAGTTAGAGAGTGGGGAGAGAGAGAGAGAGAGAGAGAGAGGTATGGCATGTATGGGACGACATGCGGAATATGAGTCAGTCATATGATTAGCGCTTTTGGAAAAACATTGCGATTCTGTCGCGAAATATTACGCGAAAAACAATTGAAAACAACTTATTTCAAGACATGAGACAATCGTTTTGCAAACATAATGTCAATACATACGGAAGTATTGCACGTACTCTTCGCTGGAAGTGATTAGCCGTTAATGGGTTTGCGGAGTGGATGGTTGTGCGCCACACAAAACCAATTGTACGCCAATTGCATCAGACAAATGGTTGCTCATTGCAGTGGCAATACTGCCTGTGCTCTACATTCTCTCTCTGTGTCGTCTCTCTCTCTCTCTCTCTCTCTCGCATTCACTGCAATCATAATCATATTCTGTGCCTAAAGAATACGTATGTGTATTAATACGCTACAACTCTGTTCCCCATAGTATTAGCATTAGCTATATACACTGTTCAGTTTAGTTTTACTACTGGTGCTAAATGCGCAGTCAGTATTACACACTGTGTTTTGCACCGGGATTTGTGTTTGAATCGGTTTTCAACTGAAATACCACTTAATGTATACTAAAATAGAGTACCGACTGCATAGAAATACCACACAATTAGTCACATATTTACACTGCAATATACACTATAGACCCCTAACCCTACACTTAAAATAATAGGAACTCCACATTTATTGATTTAAATGCCATTCCCGATGTCTGAACGGGTTTTTGTGTCTCAACTACATGGGCGACACCACTTCAGACACTAAACTAATCCATCGATTCCTATTCCACTCCATTCGTAACCATCGCAGACATAGACTCAGTATTTCAGTGCATAAACTCTGTGTCGAAATGAAATGCACTTTTAATTAATGCAAATACTATTATATAAATATACACTACTGTTGTATATAATAGACACTACAAGTGTGTTGTATCTATAAACCGGAGAAGCTTTCTGTGCAGTCAGTTGTTACCACTCAGAGACAGACAGACTGTGCAATCAGAACAGACGGTCGATTCCTCTTAGATAATAGTTGACACAACTCCTGAGAGAGAGAGAGAGAGAGAGAGAGAGAGAGTGGAGAGAGCAAAGAATGAGTACACGAGACAGTAGGTGTGTGTGTGTGTCTCGTATGTATGGTGTGAAAGGGTTTCCCGTTTTACACTGGGATTAAACAACTGTGAAATGTATTCGTGAAACGTCTGGCGTTTTGTATGGAATATGTCTTTTGACAGAACCAGACATTCTTCGCGACAAATCAATCAGAAAAACAATTATTCACAAAATACTGCATAAATATTGAGATCGCTATTCGGTTCATAAATTATTAGCGAGACACTTTTTAATTCATTGAATAAATTCATTATTATTCTCAATAAATATATTAGTATTTAAATAAAAAGTATGACTAAAATAATAAGTGTTTAAAAAAATAAATAAAAATACATATTTCCACAAAAATCATTGGACAGCCACTTCCGACTCGACAGACGGTTTGTCACCAATTGTTGTCTCACTCATTGTCGACACATGCGATGGTCTGACGGGTGGCTGTTGTTGTCGCTCATCGCCTGTCACCACACTATGCGACGGCAATAATCTGTTGATGGGCTCGACAATGGCTGCCACGTTGATGGCCGGGAACTGGTCCTTCACTTTGATAAACTCGATGGCCGACACGCCCAACAAGTTGGCCACCGATTGCATGGGTAGTATGCGGTGAAAGCATTTGCACAGATGTGGCAATAGTTCGCCGGTATATTGATTGCAGAATCGGTGCAGAACTTCGCGTTCACTGCCCGATAGACCCGTGTCTTCAGTCCTAAGGCACACCAAAAAGTATATAAGAATTCTGTGAATAAGTTCAGGAATTTTCTCTCGAAAAGTATTTGCTCAACGAAAAAATGATTTCTTAAGCAAAAAAAAGTGTTTTATGAGATTCTTGTGTTAATTAGGAATATATAAATCATTTGAACGGTTTCTCTCATTTCAGTCGCTAATTAATTACAAAAATACACTTTTATTGCGTAAAAAATATTTCAATACTACTGTGTATTTAAGTGAAGACTAAATGCTTAATGACTTGTAACTAAAGAAATAATTCTTATAATTCTAGAGAGAGAGAGAGACTGAAAGAATCTAAAAATAGTGATTCCGTTTCATACTATTAAATAAACTTTAATATAAAATCGATATTGAGGTATGCATTCATACATTACATAATTAAACATAAAAAAGTGTGCATAAAATTGTATATAAACTATTGCCACTAATATCGCGGGGAAATACCAGTCATTTGCAAATTCACCAGAATTTCTCTCAATTCACGAAATATAAAAAAGATTATGAAAATCAATGGTTGGGAACGGAAGTGATAAAATAAAATGATTATTCACAGAAAGAATGAGCAAAATAGATGATACACAACGAGTAGTGTATGAGAGGATTGTCTGCAAAATGTATTGATTTTCTAGCCCTGTCTGCGAACCCGTCTCTCTATTTATATACAGACTATAAGTGTATTACAATCCTCTCAGACAAGAAAGTCAATGAAATACGGCTTTAATAATAGAAACGCACAGAAAATTCAAAACATAAATATTAAAACATAAAAATAAAAGCACACAAAAAATCTATAATTCATTGCGAGAGAGATATTGCTGAGGGAAATACATAACACACACACGATATTACTCGCAACTAATCACTGGTAAAGACAACTATTAGTAAATGATTTCTCATTGAATCTAAAACTAAATGTCTGTTTAAAGTATTTTGAGTAAAGAATGGGAACAATATTTCTTTCGCTAAGCAAACGATACGAATTGTGAAAAAATAAATTGAAATCCATTTAGGAATGGGATCGCAAGGAATATATTTAATAGATAAGAGAGAGAGAGAGAGAGTCGTGAAACCATAAAACGATATCAAACTCTTTTGAGACCTCAGACCAGACGGGAAACAATAAGTTATCATTTAATTGATTTAAGAGATTAACTGACAGAACAGTCTTAACGTATCGCTCAACAAATGTTTTAAAAAATTAAATCCAAGGCATTAGGAGCGAGACGTCTCTTCTGGCAAATGAGTGAAAGGGTTGACACAAACTATAATTAAAATAAGGCTCCAATTGGGAGAGAAAAAACAAAAACACAGAATATATCGCCGAATATATAGTAAAATAAAAAACATAAATAAATCAGTTGTTTATAAAAATTAAACGACGGATTGCTGTCATTAAACACACAGACATTCCTGCCGTCAGTCATTCAGTCATTCAACTTATGGTTTTGTGTTTTGCTTTTATAACGTCTAAAAGAGTTGAGCGTTTGTTTAACATATAATTTGCATACAAACGATCAGTTTTGCGGTTTCACTCAAAACTTCAAACAAACAATTTAGACCTCAAAATACCTAAAATATTTGGTGATCGCAGTGGAGACTCGTTGGAAAGACTCGTTCAACGTGTTGGCCAGGGATCCGATAATAGACAGTGGCGTTGTCCGCCGTATTTCATTCATTGCGCTCAATATATCGTTACAATAGTGAGCCAACAGTGGAAACTCCAGTAAACTCGTCGGTGGTATCAACTCATTCTCACCCTATGGTCGAGATAATACACACAGAGTTAGCAATGGATTAGCAAACAAAAAATAATAGATTTTATTAATCCATTAAACTCTAAATACCTGGTCATCGGTGACCGACCCGACCAGTAGTGGTGCGGACGTATTGATTGAGTGCGAAGTCAACGTAAAACTCTGTATCGATGCCTCAAATCTGTATTCAAAAAACACAGCAAATATTTATCCAATTAGTTATAAAATACTTAACAAAAAATCAAAAACACTTATTTTGAATTACTATCAAAACAAATGTCGTAAATATATAACTGAAGCGATTATAAAGTAAAGCATTTTTGCGGTAATAAATTAAAGCGTTAAATGAGTGATAAGAATCTTTACCACTCTTTAGATTAGTTCTCACGTCGAGTGATATAATCTGCGAGAAAGCGGACACTCCTTTGTCAGTGCGTCCGCACCGGTGATAGTTAGAGGTCTGACGGGTGCGGATGAGTCGGGTCTTCGTGAGCGCCTCGAATAGGGCCGCCTCTACCGTGTGATGACTGTCCTCTTGAGCGGCGAATCCCATGTAATCCCAGCCCAAGTATAGCACTTTCAGTGCGATATGTCTCGTCTTGTATTTACGGAAATCAAAGTCACGTTCACTTCTTGGCCGACACTTATCATCACTACTATTACCACTCCTTTTGTTTAATATATTCTTCAGTTGTCTAACGTGTGACTGCATTGACAACATGCGAGCGACCAGTTCCTGAGGAATAAAAGTGGTCACCGATAAGATAATTCATCAAATATGGTATCAAGACGTGCGCACCTCTTTGGAGTACTTCTGGAGCTCATCTGCGGTCATCAATTCATCGGTGGTGTCCATAACTTCTTCGTGTGTATGTGTCTCATGTGAACCACTACTTCAACACATGTTTTCATATTTGTG